TTGGTCAACTTGGCCCTGCTGTACCCTCGAGCTACCCTTCTCTTCCAGCTCAGCATGAGCTTGGATGTGGCCAGTCACTGGCTGCACCTCCACAGGTCTGCTTCAGTTCTGGGGTGTTGACCACTTTAAAACACTACAGTGGGGAGGGTGTCTCTGTATGGCCTCAGGCTTTTCAGGAGGTCTCTTTGTAAACTCTGCTCTGTTGAAGGACCCTGGGCAAACCATGTGTGTGTCTCTCTCTCTGAATTAGTTTCAGTCTTATTTACAGTTGGAATTAAGCAATTCCTTAAGGCACTTTTGGCTTGCTATCGTAGGATTCCAAATGGGCACGGTGATGCATACCTATAACCCCTGCTGCTGGGGGGGATCACAAATTTGAGGCCAACCTCAGTAACTAGGAAGGGGCATGGAAGCTTTCAATGAGGCATTTGAGTTTTGATTGCCCCCTCCCCCCCACACACACAATTTGTAATTGTGTAGCTTTGGGAAAGATCCTGGTTTTCAGCCCTTCCGCTCTACATAGCATCTTCCACATTGGGTTGATGTCGGGGTTAGATAGACATTAAAGGAAATGAATGTTCATGGATTCCTCCTATTTTCTCTCCAAGTTCTGTGGTCCGGGGTAGTGAGAGTCACAAGATGATCGACCTGTCTGGGAATCCAGTGCTTCGGATCTATTACACCTCCAGGGTGAGCATTCCTTGCCCCTCAGCTTCTGGGTGAAGGAACTTTGGTGCAGGGTCAAGAGAGGGCACAGTGATAGGGAGGGACAGCGAAGACCCTCTGGGAAGGAGGGACCTCTAGGCTGAGGCATGAAGGAGCAGGATTGGCGGGGAAGGCTTGAGTGGATCCTCCTGACTACATTGGGAATGAGGCCTCTGTGTACCCATTGGGAGTAAGTGGCTGGAGGGAGAAGAGGGAGAGAAATAGAGTGGGGCGTGGTTGGGAGTCAGGCTGAGCATGGACTTTTAATCTGTGAACCAGAAGTTTTGTAAAGAGAAGTGATTTGCTGAAATGCACTGCCCCCTCCGTGGTAGAGGGCCTTGTGGGGTGTGGGGTGCGGGGTGCGTGAGACCCTGCTGGCTACTTAAGCGTCCTTTGTGTGTGCAGCCTGCTCTGTTCACCCTGTGTGCTGGAAATGAGCTCTTCTACTGCCTCCTTTACCTGTTCAATTTCTCCGAGGGACCATTAGGTAGGAGAGGATGGGCTGGGAGGCAGGTGGGAGAGGGGTCCTGCCCTGCCAGTGGGAGATAAAGGCCTCAGACATCTGGGCGCATCAATCTCCTGTTCCCATCTTCATTCCCTCTCTCCACACCCCCTTCCCCTGCTGTCTCCCCGCAGTTGGCTCTGTGGGGCTCTTCCGAATGGGTCTCTGGGTCACCGCCCCCATCGCCTTGCTCAAGTCCCTCATCAGTGTCATCCACCTGATCACAGCTGCCCGCAACATGGCTGCCTTGGATGCGGCAGACCGTGCCAAGAAGAAGTGACCCTGACAACTCCTGGAACCTTCCACCTGATTGGTCATCTTATTGTGCCACATGGCTTCCCTCCCCCTCCCAGGAGGCCCATTCTCATGTCTTCCTAATGTGTTCTCCAACCTGCTGGGATGGGGGTCAGCCTCTCTTTGGTGTTGTCACAATCTCTGTAACCCTGAAGATTAGGCCCACCCTTGTGATCCCCAAAGACCTGGTCTACAAATCAAAAAGGATGCTCACGAGGCCCCTGTGGTAGGCAGCCTATTTGAGGATTACGCATCGCCACACATGAGGAGGTTGGCTCAGCCCTGGCTTCTGGCTTGGCCTGAGGTTTTAGGGACACTTGAGAGATGGTGCAGGAGCCATGTTTCCCAAAAGGCAGGTGAGTCAGATCTCTGCCCCCTGCCACAGGAAGCCTGGGGCACTGTGCCTAGGAGGAAAGGGCCATCTAGATCCTTCCTATGGCAGTCTCCTCCGTCCGGTCTACCCTGACCTTGAAAGCCTTGATAATAAAGGCAACAGCTTCTCTCTTCTGGACTTGGTTTCCTTTTAGACATTTTTGGATCAGGCCCTGGATTAAGGGGAGATTGGAAAAAAGGAAGATCTACCTGGATGTTTTCCCCCGGTTTGCAGCTGGCTCCTTTCTGTCATTCCAGAATGACAGAAGTCCTTCCGACCACCCATGCTCATGCCACATCTTCTCAACCCACCTTTATGTCCCTGAAGGTCTGCTTTGACTCATATTCTTGATATTTCTACCCCCCACTAGAGTATAAACTCCCTGAGTGCACAGACTTCCTGTTCCTCTCTCTATGGTTAGATGGATATTTACCTTAATCTGAAATGAATAGTTACTTAATAAATATTCCAGAAAAGATTAGTTGGTTTCTCAGAATGTGGCCCTTAGACCACTTATAGGTTATTCCAGAATGCAACCTCTTGGACCTTCAGAATCGATCAGTCTCTTGGGGCTGGGGTTATGGCTCAGAGGTAGAGCGCTCACCTCACATGTGTGGGGCCCTGGGTTCGATCCTCAACACCACATAAAAAATAGGTAAGTGAAATAAAGGTATTGTGTCCAACTACAACTAAGAAATAAATTTAAAAAGGAATCAAGTCTCCAGAGATGAGCCCAGGAGTCTGCAATTTTAATAAACTCCACTTGGTTCTTCCTTCCAATGTTGAGAATCACTGTTTGATCTTAAACATTTTTGGGACACCTGTTATATACCATATGCTGGGCATTGTTCTGGGCCTCTGTCCCTAACAGCTACTCTATCATTAGCTCTCCTGCTCTCTAATGCCAGCTTTCTTTTTAAAACTCTTATCGGAACTACCATATGCCAGACCCTGTGCTGGGTTCTTGGCAAATCTTGCTCATTTCATCTTTATAATAGCTTAGCAGGTGGCCCCAAAGGCCTTCACATCCAGGGGAACTAAAATTCATCAGAGCTGGGCATAGTGGTACCTATCTATAATCCCAGCAGCTTGGGAGGCTGAGGCAGGAGGATTGCAGGTTCAAAGCCAGCCTCAGCAACTTAGGGAGGCCCCACGCAACTCGGCAAGACCCCGTCTCTAAATGAAATATAAAAAGGACTGGGGATGTGGCTCCGTTAAGCGTCCCCAGATTCAATTCTGCGTACCCCTCCAATATGTATATATGTTTGTATACACACATACATATGGGCTTTAACTCCTAAGCCCAGGAAACAATTGGCTTCCCAGCCCTCTTTAAGATCATGGGTGGACAGGGCTGGAGGAGGTAGCAATAATCAGGGAGGTGCTCATGGGGATAGGAGTAGAAGACCTGCAGCACCTCCCTTAGGTTTTGGTGAAGAGGGTGGGTATCTTAAGTAGAAAGCTGGTGGGACTGGGGAAGGGTGTGTGTATGGGGGGGTGAGGTGGAGAACAGCCTGCAAAGGAAGGGGAACCAGAGAGCTCCCAGGCACTGATAGGCATCAATAGACCTCAATTGATGTGGCTAGAACACCAAGTGCTGGGGGCGATTGGGGAGCTGGAGAGATGAGGCAGAAGCAGCCAGCTGGAGTGGCTGAAGGAACTCAGTAGGACATTAGGACTTTATTGTCCATATTTTACATTTCATTCTGTATGTGGACTGTGTCACTGCTAACTGTGCTTTTTATGTGCATTATCTTAATCATCTTAACTGAATTCCACTGTGTTCTCTGCAGCAGACAAACCTATTAATGTCCTCATTTTTTTAAAAAAAAAGTTAAAAAAATATTTTAAGAGGGAAGGAGAGAGAGAATTTTAATATTTATTTTTTTTAGTTTTCGGTGGACACATCTTTGTATGTGGTGCTGAGGATGGAACCCGGGCCACACACATGCCAGGCGAGCACTCTACTGCTTGAGCCACATCCCCAGCCCTAATGTGCTCGTTTTCCAGAGGGGAATAGAGGCCCTGAGAGGAGGCCAGTTTGGCCCTGGATCCTGTCCTCTTAGCATTGATCACCGACATCAGTCCCAAGTCAGCAGACTTCTTAATGGTTGCATAGAATGCCAGCGATTATCGATTTAACCAGGTCCAGCCACCGTGAATGATGCTGTGGCAAATCCTCTCACACTTCTTCCTGGAAACACTTGTGGCATGAGTGTTGAAGGGCTTTACTCAGGGCAGGGGCAGGGGCAGATCTGTGCTTAAGGAAGGTATAGGGACTGCCCAAAACCGAGTTGTGGTTCGGATGCACAAGCCTCGCCCTGCCTGACCTGCTCCGGTGTAAGAGGAGACCAGATAAGGTGTCCTCCCAGCTCCTGCAGCAGAACCCTCTCTTTCCCCTCATCCTTCCAGAATTAACTGTCCCTTCAGCCAGATGGGTCCTCTGAGCACTGGACCAAACCTGGAGCAAGGAATCCTCCACCCTCCTGGCTCCCACAGCCCTGACTGGCTCCTAGGCTCTTTGATGCTAACCATTTACAGTGCCACCAGAAGTCTCCACGCCAATCCAGCTGTAATGTGATCTTAAAAGAGGGGGAGCTGGGGAGGAGAGTGTGTGTGCTTCTACTTAAGAAGACTCTGCCTAGAGCAGGCTTTCTGGGGAAGGCTGGTTACATTAGCACTTATTGCTCCACTTGCATCCACTGGTTACAGTTCAGTCCCATGGCCACGTCTACATGCAAGGGATGTTGGGAAATAAAGGTTAGCTGTGGTCTTAAGAGGAAGAAGAAAATTGATATGTAAAAAGCATTTTGCCGTACTGGATGTATTTGCTGTTGAAAGAGATTTTTCTTACAGAAGGCTTCCTTAACAAGTCAATTACTTTATCAGGTGTTCAACCAAAGAAAAACTATTTCAGTGCTGGAGAAAAACACTCTGTTGATCATCATCAGACATCACACCACATTGTTCTATATATTATGGGCAATTTAAGGGTGAAATTGGAACTGACTTAGAATTGGCCTCTGATGTGGGGGCTCTGCTCTATTTCCAGGAAGGTTCATTTTCCTTTTTTTGCGGGGAGGGGGGAAACTGGGGATTTGAACTCAGGGGCACTTCACCACTGAGCCACATCCCCAGCCCTATTTTGTATTTTATTTAGAGACAGGGCCTCACTGAGGTGCTTAGCACCTTACTTTTGCTGAGGCTGGCTTTGAACTCATGATCCTCCTGCTTCGGCCACCCAAACTGCTGGGATTACAGATAGGGAAATAAACCTTAGCCAGGTACAGTGGTGCCTAACACTGAGGTATACCTGTCTCCCTCATGGTACCATTCATGCTGGGCTCAACTTCATGAATATGATTTGGAGCAGTCTCCCCGTTGCTTATTGGATCACACAACCTCAAGAAGTACATGTAATAGGATAGGCTATGTTGTGCTCTGGTTAACAAAACCCCCAAAGTCTATTGCTTCACGTGGCAAACATTTCTTGCTCCTGCAACATACCTATTGTGGGTCACTTGTGGCTATATTTGCTGTTTTCTCCCTGGGATCCAGGCTGATGGAGTCATTTCTAGGGAGAACATTACTGGTCACCCTTTTATGAAAAAAGGAAGAGGGAATATAGCGATTATGTCATTCTTACATTTCATTGGCTAGGGCAAGTCACATGAGCAAGTCTGATGGCCACTGAACTTTCATGTGGAGAAGTCAATCATCAATTGGAAACGTGTCCAGAGTGCAGGAGGGAGGTTAAGGCTGGAGCAATGAATTTTGAAGTCAGGAGTGTATAGACATGATCTGATGTCATGAGACCGTCTGAAAATGTCAGTAGGAAGAAGAAACCTGGGGGACTGTTCATAGACTGAGCAGGGAGGGTGAGGTCAGCCAAGGAAACAGGAGGTGCAGCCCAAAAGGCAGAAAGGAAAGTAGAGGTGATGTCCTGGAGCCCAGTGTGGGAAGAGGGGCGGCCACCTGTGCCCAGTGACAGGCAAGGCTGAACAAAAGGTGACCTACCTCCTGGATTTAGTAACAGAATGTCACTGCGGATGCCTATTAAAGCAGTTTCCAAAAAGCAAGGGGTGGAGACAAGCTAATTGGAGTGGTTTGAAGAGGTTCAGTTAGTCAGCTTTTTGTCACTGTCACCAAAATACCCAACAGAAACAACTTTAAAAAAGGAAAAATGTATTTTTCCTTCTGAAATCCTCAGTTTCAGAGGATTCAGTTCACGGTTGGCCATCTCCATTGCCCTGGGCATGAGGTGAAGAAGAACATCATGGCAGAGGGAAGCTGTCAGCCAGGAAGGAGAGAGACAGAAAGGACTAGGAGAAAATAAACCCTTTCAGGGCATACTCCAGTGACCTACTTCCTCCAATGAGGTCCTATCTCCCAGTAGTCTAATCAGCCACTGCATGGATTAATCCACTGATGAGGTCAGAGCCCTCCTGATTCAAAGCCCCACCTCTGTACAAATGAGACTTTGGTGGGCATTCCACATCAAAACCATAACAAGAGTTGAGGAATGGAAACAGACTGGAGAACTCTGGAGAAATTTGTCTCTAAAGGAAAAAGGAGAGAAGGGAGTTGGAGAAGGTGGGGCACTAAGGAATCATTTACCTGTTTTATGTGGCAGAAAAAGTAGGGTGTTTTTCTATACACATGACGGTGGCCAAGGACAGAAGGGTGTTGGGGGTAGAGGTATCGCTCTGGAGGACATCGATAGGTGAGATCTAGGGTCCAAGGGGAGGAGTTCTTGCTGGGAACAGGAGGGAGGACAGAGTCCAGATGCCCACACTGTGTTGATTTGCTACTGGGAAGGGAGAGGCTTCCTGCCCAATTGGCTTCTATTTTCTCCAAGAGGTGAGAAAAAGTGGGCAGGAGTGTGGGAGTTGAGAACAGAGGAGGTGTGAATGGTTGTTTTGAAGGGCATCTCATTCTAGATAGAGAAACACAATTAGAAGAGGGAGGCCTCCCCTGAAGTTTGGGCCATGAGTTTAAAATGAGACCAGCAGGTTCTGTGGGGTGTCCCTCCTCCAACAATAAGCAGCTGGTCTGGGGCTGGCAGAGGGAGCCAGGGGGGGTTAAGAAAGGATGGATGGAAAGGGAGACAAGGAGTTAGGGGAGGTTTCACATGAGTGAATTACTTGGACAGATCACACATGCTAAGCTGGGTACAACGGAAATTCGAAGGGATGAGGGCTCAAAAAGGGGTTGGAGGGGCTGGGGTTGTGGATCAGAGGTAGAGTGCTCGCCTAGCATGTGGGAGGCCCTGGGTTCGATCCTCTGCACCACAAAATAAAGATGTTGTGTCCGCCAAAAACTGAAAAATATTTTTTAAAAAAAGTGGTTGGAGTCAAGGTCACTGAAGCTTCAAGTGGAGGTTCCAGAGGTGGTGCCATTGCTAGCAATGTTAAGCAAGGTGGAAGGATGGCCATGGTCAAGGTGGCCATGCAGAAAGGAACATACCCACTATGCATAATCTTACTTGCTTCTGTCACGAGGCCCTTGGTAATGTACAGCCCTAACACAGCAGCACTTAATACGTGCCAGGTACCAGATGAAGAACCTTAATTATCCCTCGAGGGAAGAAGTGTGGGGGGGGGGGCACTGAGTCACTTGCCTATTCCACAGACACAGCCAGCTTCACCTTGCTGTGAGCCGAGGATGTACTCCCTTGGACTCGGCACGCTCAGACTTGAGTGGAGCCACTGATCCTTCAAATGCAACTCAACTTGGAAAGAAATGAGGCTCAGGGGGTCAGGCCACAGAGAGGAAATAGGAATAAACCTTGAAAAGGAATCATTCTTATATTTGTGTCAACCCCTTTCCAGTGGGGGATTTGCTCGCCCACTGCACAGATGGGGAAGAGATTAGAGGTTGTGTAGCCTACTCTAGCCACACAGCCCCAAGCTTTCTCTCCATCCCTAGGATCTTTTAACTTCCTCCGAGGAGATGGGGTGGGCTTGGCACCTACAGCTCTACCTGCCACAAGGAGCTGGTGTGCTTAGACTGATTGTGCCTGGATCCTCCCAAATAATGGGCCCTTACTGGTTATGGGGGAGGTTGGGAAAAGAGTACCCTTGGTGCTCCTGATTATCCCAGACCAGAAACTAGTTCCTACAACCCCTGGGCAGGGTCCTCCTCCTCCACAGTGTAACATCCCCATCAGAAGGGAAAAGTGTACAGGTGCTGGTACTGGCCTGGCACACCTATGGGTGCTGTGGACTGCTGGTATGACCAGCAGGTGGAGCCAAAGGGCAGTTACCTAAGTAGGCTGGGGGTGAGGGGCCTCCATGGTGGCTCTGGGTAGATTCAGAACTGCCAGGCCAACCTGAGTTCTTAGAGGGATGAATGGATGGAGAGGCTGCCAGTCCCAGCCATCCCAGAGGGCTTGGCAGGCAGACTGCGTTCTTCCATGGGTGACATCATCTTCCTGACCTGGGATCTAGGAAAGTTGACTCCCTAAAGGACAGACAGCTTGCCAAGGCTTTGGGGATCCCATTGTGATCAGGGCAACTTTGGGCTCATCTCTGACTCCGTTTCCTCTCCACTTTACAGATGTGCATAGTCTCTAGTAATTACCTTCCAGATGTCAAGGGTACACTTCCCTCCACCAGTGAGCTCCTCGTAGCCCAGGCTTAAGATAAAGAATTTAAATGCCCAGAAATGTCCACTTTATTGGTCAGTTGTGAGTGAGTAAGAGCTAAGGTACAATTTGGTTGCCTCCAGCAGTTGGAGAGGTGGGAGGACCCCGAATATGTAAACCCTCCTGGGGGCTGTGCCCACTAGCCGCCATTCGGGCCTGGGGCTGACCATCAGACCCTAGCCCCAGCAGCCCAAAGGCTGTGTTGAAGAGGTTGATGGGAGAGGAGCCATCAGTGATCAAGGTGGATTTCAGACCAAGGGACTGGAGCAGTTTGACCTGGAGGTGAAGAGGAGGAGGAGGAAGGAAAGAAGACAGGGTCAGATGTTAGTCACTTCTTGCACTTCCAAGTGACCCTCCTGAAACCAACTGATTTGAAGTGTCAGCTCCCCTTCATCCCATCACCTGGCCTGCCTTCCTTGGAAGCATCGGTCACAGACCAACACCCCGGTATTCACTGTCTCCGCCAAGAGTTCCAGCTCTCTGCTGAGTCTAATACAGTGCCTGATGTTAACACACATGACACTGTGCTCAAGTGACAAGCTATAAAGGGACGTCTGCTCACTCCCGCTCCCTGACATTCTAGATGTCATTTCTCTTCTGCCTTCTTAGTTCCAAGGCTGGTACCAAGTCAAACACTCCTCTCCAACCTCCCCTAACCCTCACCTGCATCTCTGGCCCGGCCACAGCCAGGTCCCTGATGGTGCTGGGGCCCAGGGCCTCTGTCATCTGCTTGAACTTCTTTGCCTCCACCTCAGCCAGTTGCTGGGCCTTGCTCACTTCCAGCTCCAGCTGAGCCCGGGCATAGACCAGTTCCAGCTCTCGTACTTTCTGGACCCGCTGGAGCTCAGCCTCCTGCAAGGGAAGAAACGTGGCTGGCTTAAGATCATGTGGTCCCTGGGAACTGTCCAGAAAGTCACCCTAGCCAGCGAGCCTGAAGGAACTGAGGCAGAGGGAACATAGCTCTAATCTTTTAGTCAGCAGGGTGCGAATCCTCGCTATGCCACTGCTTAGCTAGTGACGCACAGGCGCTCCTTAATCCGAGCATCAGTGCAGTG